GGAGGGAGGGATGGATGGATGGATGGATGGATGGATGGATGGATGGATGGATGGATGGATGGATGTTTAGAGGAGCAAGGAGCAAGCACTGAAGATCTCCCTTCTGCTGTCCAAGGCATGATTCACAGCCCACATGCTGCTCCACCAAGGAACCAGAGGCAACACCACAATCTTCCTGTTGTGGGAAAACCCCGAGTTCAACACGCAAACCAAGGAGCTGAGGTTGGGGTGCTGCACCCCTGGGACCTGGGAGCCTCCATCCCAGCGTGGTTCTCCTCCTCCAAACTCAGGGATGCTTATCTAACCCAGTTCCCCTGAGCCAGGACTGGTGGGAGGGATGGAGTGTGCCCTGCTCACATCCAGGTCTGTGGAAAATTCCCTTGGCTAGGCCAGAAGCAGCACATGGACATCACATACCTCAGACTGCTGAGCCTGGCTTCTCCCCTCCACTGTAATAGCACCTCCAGCCTTCCTCTTTTTCTCCTGAAACTACTGATTTGGCCTGTATTTGTGGGCTGTTTTAGGGAATTTCACTCTTCCATCCAGGAAGGGCAAGCCCAGGTGTTTTGGTGCCCATCAAAGGAAAACATCTCCTTGGCAAACATAGCAAAGCCATTCATCACCTTCAGACACCTCTCTTCCCACGCAGCAATTTTCAGTGCCTGCAAAGGAAAAGAAAATAACAATAAATGAGTGAGGCTCTTGGCTGTACCTGCTGCAGAATCCCTGGATAGGGCTGCAGGACCTTCTCCAGCCCAGTGTGGGACAGGACATCCCCCAGCTGACTGCTTGGAGGCACAATCTGTCCTTTCCCATCCCTCTGTTACTGGGACACTGATGTTGGGGATGACCCCAGTTCCCTCAGCAGGGTCTTTATTGTGGAAACCCTCAGGAGAGAGGGCTGGGAATGAGGGGGTGGTGGATAAACCCCACTGCCAGTTCAGGCATGGCTTTATCATGCCAGGGAGAGGAGAGGAATGGCTGCTCAGGGTTAGGGCTGAAATGATCCCCTGCCTTGCTCTTCCCCAACCCAACTCCACATCCTCATCATCTTGCAGCTCATGGAAACCTGTTAGAAGGAGGTTTACTCTTGGCTGACCCTCCCTCAGGGATATCTGATGCCATCTGCTCCACAGCAGCTGGATCAGCCCTTCCCACAGGGAATCACATCTTGGCTCCAGTTCAGCATCTGCCCTTGGGCTGGGGACTCCCCAGCCCCAGCTGGCAGCTGGCCTTGATGCCACCAAAGTTCCTGGGGACTTCCCAAGGCATCCCAGCCTTGGAAGGGCTCACATTGCATCAGCCAGGCCTGGAGAAGATGCTCGGTGACACTCAGGGATCTCCTCCTCCTCCTCTTGGCTTTCAAAGCTTTTCCTGCTTTGCATGTTCTCCAGAAGGACGCCAGATCTCCCTGGGGCACTCTTGGTGCCACTTGGATGGGAACCTCCTTGGATCACACACTAAGAAAACACAAATCCACAAGTTTTTTGTCCTCAGGCAGGTAATTAGTGGCTTGGGCTTTGCCTACGCCAAGCCAGTGGCTCTGCAAGACATGGCAGGTCCTGGGTTTTCCAGACTTTTCATCAGCTGGCCAGTGGCATACATAAATCCCAGCCCAGGAAAATCCTGGATGAGTCTTTGCTGTTCTCCACAATCCCAAAACCCACTGAGCACTTTCTCATCAAAGCTCAGCACCAGCAGAACTACGCTCAGGGCAGGGTCCCATCTGCTCTCCAGAAGGTGATTCCCAGCCCACAATCCCAGCTTGGGCCTTCTAGCCCCAGCAGGACTTTTCAGCCCCAAACAATGATGAATTTTTGGAGAAGGCTCCATGACCCAGTGTGGCTCTGGCTGGGTAATCCCATCACCACATCCTGACATATTTTTTCCCTGCAGCAAAAGAGAAAAATCCCCCATAGCCTTTGGTCCTCCCAGCCCACCACCTCAGGCCAGCACCAGCTTGGAGGCTTCCTGCTTTCCCCACCTCCTTGCTGCTCCAAACATCTCATGGGGCTCAGTAGATGGCCTGGGGCTGTGTCCTGATGGATTTGACTCCAAGGGTTTGGGGAGAGACTGGGGAGGCAGCACAGGATGCTCTCACAGCCTCAAAGCTTGGAGACACCATCACAGCCTGGGATGGTTGTAAGTTGGTGCTGTGAAAAATGCATATGATATTATTGGCTCTTTGCAAATATTGAAATGAATACTAGATGTGTTATGTTGGAAAGTTATGCTGTATTAATCTCTTTTAAGTGGTGTGGTAAATATGGTTTTTAGGCTATAGCACAATATTAAAATAGAAACTATGCGATGTAAGGTACTTTTTGTATTATTTTGTATACTTTTCCATTCCTAGCTCAAGGAATGGAAAAGATAATCAAGAAATTCTTCACATTATCCTATGTGGATAGAGATAACAGCAACAGACACCAAGATCCCAAGAGAAGAATTATTGCCTCCTTATCAGGACAGCTCAGACTTTGAGGAACCAAGAAGGTCGATTTACAAGATGGGGGGGGGGAAGCTGAAATTAAGCAGAAACCCCCTAGTTTGAAAGGAATGTTTGAATCATGTATGAGATCTATGAATATGCAATAGGCTATTGCTTTTAAGGGGAAATCCCTTGTTAGCAAAGTGTGTTTTGTGGCAGAGTGCCAGGCACCCTATGTCCGTAATTCTTTGCTTTTTATTTTATTTAGACTTACTGTCCTAATTGTTATTACTATTTTCATTACTATTAAACTTCTAAAATTTTAACAAAAGCCAATGGCATTTTTCACAGTGCCTTCCCTAAAATCTCCATCATATCCCCACAAAATCGTGTGGGCAGCACATGGAGAAATCCTTTTCCATGACAGCATTTCAAAAGTCCAGGAGGAAAAAGAAATTCCAGACAATAAATCAATAAACTTCTCCCAAACGTGGTTTTAATTATCAGTGTCGATGCAGACTTCAAGGGAGGAAGGAGAGAGGAGGACGAGGAGGAGGAGGAGGAGCAGAGGCTCTGATTTAGCTCTTAGCAATGTGTATTCCTCTGCATCCAGCAAAGATTGAGAAAGGGATTGATTTTGGAAAGAAAAAAAAAAAAACACCAAAAACAGATGTTAACACATTTGCAACCCAAAAACCCATGGGAAGAAAAGCCCCAGATCCTCACATTCCTGCACTGACGCCCATCAGCTCCTCCCAAACACACGTGGCCGCTGCTGACATCAGTTCCAGGAGAGCCGCAGGAACTGGGACGTGTTTTGGGGCCAACCCGCCTGTTTTGGAAACACTTCCCTCATTTCGAGGGTGCTGGTGCCAGCTTATCTTGGGCACGATGCCCTCCTTTATCTTCGGCTTTCCCATCGCCCCGAGGCTGCTCCTCCCAAGGTCATCCCACTGATCCATCTGGGTGGCTGCTCCTTATCTGCCCAACCAGGAGCAGCTTCTCCTTTCCCCTCCAGGGATGGATGCCAGGCTGAGATAAAGATCCACTGGCTCCAGGAAGGGGGATGGAAAGAGGCTCGATGGAAAGAGGTTCTCCCATCCAAGCACGAGGTGGAGGGGACCATCTGCCACCAGGACACTCGCTGGGCCAAAGAGCCCCAGGGCACCTCGTGCCCATTGTCTGGGCACGCCTGGATACGGGAAATTAACATAAACCGAGATAAAACCAAGAGAAAATTAGCATAAAATGTATGTACAGCTAAGAGACGAGGGTGAGAGAGAAGCTGTTGCACTTCTCCAGGTATTTCTAAAACTTCTCTCCAGAGCCATGGTAGGAGAAAGCTGATTTTCCTCCAAAATTTTGTGCAGGCTGAAGCCAGCAGAGAACCAAGACCAGGGGGAAAACCAAACCCAAACCCGTGGCGCTTTGCATCTCATCTTCTGCTGAGGATGCTCAGGAGAGGGAGAGCTTCAAATCCTGGCTCAGAGGGGTCCATCCCCACCACCTCCTGATTTCCTGAGGGAAGAGGAGATGCTGGCACGGTGGAGCCTCAGCTGGAGCATCCCAGCGGCACACCTGGGTGCCACGGGAGGGCTGCTGGCTCCGGGGCATGGGAAGGGCTCATGAGGAGGAGCCGGACAGACGGACAGCCCCGTGCCCGGCACTGGCCGGGTGGGGACGCGACCGGCCGGGATTTTCAGCATCTGAGTGAGCCAGCAAAGCAAACACGAGAAAAGAGCTCCCGAGTCATGTAAACAAACAAACAAGCAATTAAGAGATGAAATGAATCTCCCGAGTACATAACCTTTCTATTTAAACACTCCAGGCCTGGAAGTGTCCCAGCACATCTGACCCAGCCTAGCCTGTGATCTCCCTGCGGGATGAAAGGGGCTGGGTTTCAGGGAGTGACTTTTCTTCTGCCTCTCCCCACAATTTAATTATATTATCCTTTCTTTCTTGTGTTGGTTTATTTCAAAGGGAAAGTCCCCAGATGTTTCCTTCTGTTAAAAATAGGTTAGAAACTGTTGTAAAATAGTTGATAATTGTTAAATTATAAATGTATTGTTAGTTTGGTTATTATATTGTAAAAGGGTAGTTATAAGAAATACTGTACTCAGTAAAGTGCAGTATTTCATTTTCAGTAAAGTGAAACGAGCCAGCCTGGACAGAACTGTAATGGGCCAATCAGGAGCCTTAAACCTTCATGCAAATGAAGGATCCAAAAAGAAACCGATCCAAAGGGACAAAAAACAGGATAAAAAAGGGCTTCTAACCCATTGAGCCCTTGCTGCTCCACCTGGAACACCGGGGCCATCACTGTGGAGCAGCCCCAGCGCTGCAGCATCCTCGAGGGAATGCTCCTGCTTGGCCCCCCTTGCTTTAGGCCTTTATTTTTATTATAATAAATGCTGAAATCACTCTAGTACCGGGAGTGTGGCCCTGTTTTTAACACTTCTGCATCCCCTCCTCAGGATGGAGCAGGAGCTGCCTCCCTCCCTCCCATCCCTGGAACAGGACTGACTGCATTGACCTGTTAATGATGGAATTTAAGGACGGTATAGAGGAAACTATACCATCCTTAAACTGGGGTAAATGGACCCAGCAGCATTAAAAGAGCAGAGGGAAGAGAAAAACTAGGCTTTAAAAGGAAGGCAGACAGCCTTGGGAGAATTTTGGGGGAGAATGAAGATGCTTCTTCCACACCAGGACAAGACACAGAGGTTTAAGTGGGTTAAACCCAAAGGGAATGGTGTTAATTTCCCTGGGGTTTCTGTCCCCTGCAGCTCAGGGGACCCTTGGCCAGCTCCCTCCTTGGAGCATCCAACACCCCACGAGCTGCCAGACTCCCTCCTGCCTGCTCTGGGCCTTCCCTGTGCAGCCACTGCTGATTCAGGACAGCGAGGGACTCACCCTGCTGGCTTCAGCACAGCCTCTAATCCCAGGCTCAACTTTAAGCCCAGCTTTGGGGTCCCGCAGAGGACAGTAGTCACACAGCCCAGCCGAGGTCACCGCTGAGTTATGCTGACTCTTTCCAGGGATGGGGATGGGTGGGGTGTGTGTGGGTGGGTGTGTGTGTGCAGGGTTTTAATGAGTGCTGTTAAATTGCTTAAATCCACACTCTTGCAGAATTTTGTGAACCAAAACTAAGTGTGGAGGTTGCAGGGATAAGGACCATTTAGAGGAAGCATCACTTACTAGTTTTTGGGAAAGAAAACCCTTGCTTGATAC